CTTTTGTGATTCCAATTTCTTTTGTACTCTTACTGACTTCAGGAAGGTAATTACCCTCCCTAAGTGTAGAAAGACCACCTTAGTTGACAAGATTGTGATTATCTCTTATCTCTGAACTATTTTCATGTCATTTTCCTATTGATTCACTCCCCTAAATATCTAATCAATTTTACATGTTCAATTTAAGGTTCAGGAAAATAAAAAATTCTGTTTAATAAAAATAATAAATAAAAAAAAAAAAAATCAAATTTTAAGCAATTTTCGCGCAAGTCAAGACATATTGAGAAAAAAGATGACAATTTCGCGGAAATTCGCGCCTCGACAGACCTGCAGCCCTAGTAATGAGAAATGAGTGAAGGTAAGTTTGTTTGTATGAAAAAAGTTTTATAAACCCATTTTTTAGAGAGAGATTTGTTTATGATATTAAATACGCATTTAAGAGGTCTGTCTCTTCCCTGACATATTTTGAACATAACTGTTTTCTTTTACATTTTTTGAAACCTTGTAAAATATTTCAAAATTTGAAGCTATGAAGTTCAACTTCAGAGTATTGGAAATTCTTAAAAATATAATCTCAATAAAAAATATTTTGTTTAAATGAAATGCAATTAAATCTTATCTTTCTTTAAATTAATGACTAAAAGGAAGACGAAAGTTTTTAAATGATGAAGCGTTGGAAGCACTGAACACACATGGGAAAACTTCATTATAAAAACAGTAGTACTGCGTTTAAGCGTATAGAACAGTAAGTACTCACTATTCACAGCTTGGACTTACACTTTTTTAATTATAATAATTTCTAATACGTATCAAAAAAACATAGTTGCATAACTTTTTTAAATACAACAAGAAAAAATCAATTTAAGAAGTTCGGAAGCATTGACAAAATAAGTAATTCTAGTTTGTTTTGTTTGTCTCTTTCTTTCAAATATAAACACTGAAATAACACTCGCTTCCCACATAACGAAAAATAGCTTTGATAGCAAAGACATTTTTAATTGTCAGACTGACTCAAAACAAAAAATTTAATTTCGAACAAATAAAAGGCTAAAACGGAATTAACAATTCTCTTGCAACATATTCTAACATCAACTTAAATGTGGAAAGTAAATACTTACATAGAGCGATAAATATATAAGAACGCTTTAATAGTTTAATTTAGTTTATATTTTAAAACAAACATTACATATAGATCAACTAAAAAAAAACAGTCTGTTGGTATCTAACTCCCTGTTTACAGAAAAATCACGTTTTGTCACTTATGTTGCCAGAAAATTTTCATTAACTTCGAAATCTACCAAGAGTGATCGAAACAACGCAGTGTTTTCTACACTAGATAGCGCTGCTTGCTCTTCACTCTCTAGATTTCCTGGTTACTGTTTCCAGTGTATTTTGAAGCAATTTAGCTCACATTGTGTTTCGAGACTCTCTTGATTAGTATTTCTTGTATAAGTGTATTTGCTACGTGATTTATTATTTGTGTTTAAAAAAAGAATCGTTATAAGAATCATTATTTGAAGACCTGTCCTTTCAAGAAGTAAGAATCATCGTTTGAAACAAAGTGTTGCGAATAACACTAAAATAACTTCATAATCTATGGGCTGCATCTACCAGATGCGGGTGTGTTATTAGTTTAAAAATAATTCAAGTTCATTTAACAAAAAACAACGTTTATTAAAGGAAAAACGATAACAAGATCGCGAGCCATAGACGCTCGTGTCATTTCATTCGGTGCTGCTCTACTTCCTATTTGGAAGTATACAGCTGCTTAGTCGAGATATTTTGAGTAGATAATTTCGTTTTTTACAAAAGAAAAGAAATTATATAATTTCTGAGCTGAAATCTACTTTCTGCATCTGTATTTCATAAGATATTAAGTAATTCTGCTAAGTTTGAAATGAAAATTGGTTTAACTTATTTATTGTTGTTAAAAAGGGTGACATGGTTGCTTGATTTAAAAGAACTCGCTTTTTTGGCCCTCCAGATTTGATCTTTTTACTTGTTTGTTCTTGTTACAAGCCGTTCACTAAAGTGCGTTATTGTTAGCATATTGTTCGAGCAATGAGATTAAGTTCATTTTACAAGTTATTATTTAGGTTTAAATTTCGAAGTAGGTATATTGTTGACAAGGTAGGAAGTGTTTGATAACGATTCTTCGTGTTGAGAACTGGCGTTTGTAAGTGGCGCTGCATGAAGCCACTGACATCATCATTATTGTTCTGATCACCTTGATATCCGAGATGCGTTCTTTAGTGTTCCCGTAAAACCAGAATGTACGAAATATTTAGCATTCTCAACAGATAATTCGCAATATGAATTTCTTAAAACCCCTTTCGGATTGAGTACATCGCCAAATGTCTTTCAAAGACATATAAACAGAGTGTTTAAAGATTTGATCAAAGATGGTACATTGAAATTATACTTCGATGATATAATTGTAACGTCAGAAACTCAAGAGGAAAACCTCGAAAAACTTAAATGTGTCTTTAAAGTAGCGTCAGAGTACGCAGTTGAATTTAATTTTAAGAAATGTGAATTTTTAATGAACGAAATTGAGTTTTTAGGTTATTTTTTTAAAAACGGTACGATGCAACCGTCTGCTTCTAAAACCGCTGCTGTTCAAAATTTCCCTAACCCTAAATCGGTTAAACAAGAGCAAAGTTTTTTAGGACTTACTTCTTATTTCCGCAAATTTATTTACAACTATTCTAAAATTGCAAAACCCTTGAGTGATTTGTTAAGAAAGAAAGCGAAATTCTATTTCGGTCAAGAACAAATGGAAGCATTCCAGAAATTAAAAGATATTTTGAGTCAAAAACCAGTTTTACACATTTTTCGTCAGGGATCAAAATTGGAACTGCATACTGATGCTAGCAGTAAAGGATTTGGAGCAATTTTAATGCAGCAGGGCGATGATGAAAAATTTCATCCTATATATTATTTTAGCCATAAAGCTTCACCGCAACAAGAAAAACTTTCAAGCTATGAATTAGAAGTTTTAGCCATAATAGAAAAATTTTAAAAAATTTAGGTCGTACTTGTTAGGTACAAAATTTAAAATTTACACTGACTGCGCTGCGTTTACCCAAACAATGAATAAAAAAGAAATAACACCCAAAATAGCGCGATGGGCTTTACAACTTGAAGAATTTGACTATGAAATTTTGCATAAAGGTTCAAATCACATGTCCCATGTCGATGATCTTTCCAGAAACACAGTGTTAATGGTTACTCGAGCATTTAGTGAAGTTACAGCAAAAATCGCCGCCGCTCAGGAAAAATACGAATTAACTAAATCATTAAAAGAACACGTAGAAACAAATGACGATAACGAATACTTAATTTAAAACGGAATTTTATATCGAATAGAGAAAGGTCGAGAATTATTAATTGTTCCCCAAGCACTCGAAAATGAAATTATTCGTGAAGTACATAACAAAGGTCATTACAGTATTAATAAAACCAAAGAAATAGTTAAGCAGGAGTTCTATATTCAAAAACTTAGAGATAAAACCGAGAAAATTATTGCTAATTGCGTTAAGTGTATTTTATGTAATAGAAAGTTTGGGAAAGCCGAAGGATTTCTTAACCCCATCCCAAAAGATAACATTCCCCTCGATACTTATCATGTAGATTATATAGGTCCCTTGCCATCCACTAATAAAAGTTATCAGCACATATTAACTGTAGTAGACGGATTTACCAAATTCGTTTGGCTTTACCCCACCAAATCAACAACAGCACAAGAAGCAATCACAAAATTGACAACACAACAAATTATATTACCCTAGAAGAATCATAACTGACAGAGGTACAGCTTTTACCTCAAAAGACTTTAAAACTTATTGTGCTAATGAAAACATCGAACATTATAAAATCACAACAGGTGTAAGTAGAGGAAATGGACAGGTAGAAATAATACATAAAATACTGATCCCCATATTATCAAAATTATCCTTAGATGACCCTGAAAAGTGGGATAAATTTGTTCCATCAGTGCAAACTATTATAAACAGTACCGTTTCCAGAAGCACAAACTTTACGCCACTTGAATTGCTAACTGGTGTAAAACTAAAAAACAATCTTGACCTGCACATCAAAGAAATCTTGAACAACGAATATGAGAATTTTATAATGAGTGAAAGAAACGAACTACGAGAAAAAGCGCGAGAGAACATTCTGAAGGTACAACAGGAGAACAGAAAGAACTTTAACAAGCGTAGAAAAAAACCAAACATCTACAAACTAGGAGACTTAGTCGCTATAAAACGGGCCCAATTCGGAACTGAACTTAAATTGAGAAAAAAATATCTTGAACCCTACCAGGTGACAGCTGTGAAACCTAAAGGCCGTTATGACGTCCAAAAAATCCCTGGCCACGAGGGGCCAAGCATCACATCCACCGCAGTAGATTTTATGAAGCCTTGGGCTTCGTAATCAGCATCATAAAAAAAAATGCCCATGTAGAATTAGATACTGCTTTCTTTTTTTATTATTATTTCAGGAAACTCGTTCATGCTTGCGAGGACACAAGAAATTAAGATGCCAGAGTGCAGGATGAGGAAAAGAACTCCCTCTCATCCCTTCTTCTGTCGCCATGATTCCAGTGTCACAACTTCCCCGCACCACCACCTCTCCTTTTTTTTAACCCAGAGACTCACTCTTCGTTTTGTTGCTGAACAATCAACTGCATAGCCCAGACGGGGCTCATGCTTGTGTAAATGGGGCAGAGGGCCCATGTTTTTGAAATTTTATAAATTTTTCATAAACTATTCATATCTAATCATATATGTAAATAATTCATTTTGTTATTAAATGTTACCATCATCGAAAAAAACAACTGTCGTTCCTCTCCAAAAAAAAAAAAAAAAAAAAAAAAAAAAAAAAAAAAAAAAAAAAANAACAGTTTCAATGCCATAGTGTAGTAACTGCGAACATTGCGTCATCCGCCATCATGAAATACTAAAAGAATTTGCATCATCCTCTTTGTCATTGAGAGGCGCCAGTCAGTCCCGATGGGGAAGTCCCGAATTTAGAATTAACTCTTGACTTTATACAATAAAACAATCTAATTTCTTATTCACATGAATTTTGGAGATACTGCGTGAAGGCAGCTCTCACCAACCATGTCACTTCTAAATTTAAACGTATTTCCTTTTCTTTGTATTAAATGTTATGTTTAAATGTTAAATTATCGTCATTATTTCATCTTATGCTGCACTAATTCCTACAAATAATGGGGGCTTGCGTCCGAGATTTGAATAGAGCTGTAATTTTTTAACTTTGATATCCCACGAAGGGGATTTTTCAGCCAAACAAGTTTTGAAATCCCGCGAAGGGGATAATCTACGAATTGTGGAGCTAAGAAAAAAAAAGTGAAATTCTACGCTCGTGTAGGAGCTGTAGATTTTGTTCCTGTTTCAAATCCCGTGTCACCGAATTGTTCACCGAATCACCAAAATTCTACGCTCGTGGAGGAGCGGTTTATCAAATTAGCATTCGCTCAAATGTTGTTCCTGTGTTAAATTCCATTTTGAATCTGCCGAGAAGGGCAGTCAACTTTTCCGTGAAGAGCAGCAAAAAATCAGCGACTGGAGAAAAACAGCAGCAGAGACCTTTGAACACTCCGAAATCAGCAATAACTGAATCTGCCGTGAAGGGCAGAATTGATGCAGAAACTTTCCAAAACCGTTGGAATATTTTGTGCAAATTAGAAGGGCAGTCAACTTTTCCGGAAAGTGCAGTTGTGAAATCCTTGGATACAAATAGGGATACGAATCTGGTTTGAATCAACGAAACATTGGATTACCATTGGACACTGGGAGTCTTTTCAAAGTAGGAAATTTTCAATTTTAAAAATGCATAAAAATTCAAAGAAAGAAGACCTAGTAAAAGTATTAGAAGAGAAAGGAGGCATCGCAGACAGCAGCGATAATATCGTTAAATTAAAAGAAAAAATTGAATTTACCGAAATATTTAAGAATGATTCAGAATTTGTCAAAAATTTAATAACTAACGCCGTGGAAGAAAGAGTACAAACAGCGGACAGGGAACTTAAACAAAACGAAATTCAAGTTGAGTTAGAAAAACTAAAATTAGAAAGACTCGAGAAAGAAATGCTTTTATTAGAGGCTAAAAACAAAGCATTTGAAATTGACCCGCCCGAAACAATAAATGATACACCTGAAACAAACATTGAGAATCTAATTCATAGCATCGAAACCTGAAAATTTTAATCAATTGTTTTCATAGTTGGAAAGAGCTTTTGCTACGAAAAACATAAATGAGGAGCTTAAAGCCGA